TTGTCAGGCAAGCATTCCGCCTGAGGAATATTCCAGAAGATTCGCTGGATATTTTCCTATCAACTGTTCGGAGCGCTACCTTGAGGCAATATAAATAATGCATTTAAACTTTGGTGTAGCTTCTGCAAAAGGAGGGGAGTGGATTGTTATTCCTTCTCACCTATTGCTGTATTAGATTTCCTTACTATTCATTATAGACAAGGCAAGTCCTATGGCTCATTGAGTTCTTTCAGGGTAGCACTTGGCCTTATTTTTGGATCAGAATTAATTAACAATGCAAGTCTAACAAGGTTTTTTAAAGGTGTTTATAATCTAAGGCCAAGTAAACCAAGATATGACAGTACTTGGGACCCTAGTTGTGTCCTTGACTTTGTAAAAGGCTTACAGTCTAATGACTTGTTATTAAAACAATTAACTGTTAAACTAGTTTTGTTACTGGGGCTAACGACTGCACATCAAGTCCCAACGCTCTCTCTTATAGATTTGGCCAACATAAAATCTTTTCCAGATCGATTAGAAATTAAAATAACGAATCAAATTAAATAAAAATAAAATAAAATAAAATAAATAAGGCTCAGCCTGTTTTAATTTTGCATAAGTATGAGGATGTTAATCTTAGTGTAGTTTCAACTATTCTGTTTTATATTGAGAGGACCAGTGCTTTAAGAGGGAGTGAACCTCGTTTGCTTATTACATTTAAAGATAGGTTTAGAGAATAGTGGTGTGGACACATCTATTTTTACTGCTCACAGCACTCGACATGCTTCAACATCGTCTGCGTTTCGTAAAGGTGTTTCGATTGATATGATTCGGAAAACGGCTGGTTATTCAGAACGCTCTAAATGTTTTGCCCTTTTTTATAATAGACCTATTTGTACAGTAGGTGCAGGCTTTTTTGTTAATGCCACATTTGCGACATAGAATTTATTTTTCAGATTTTTTTGTGTTTTCTCGGACAGCCATTTATTTTGTATTTGTACTAGGGGCTTTCATAAGTTTCGTAAAGTTTGGATTTTTTTATATAGCCGAATAAAATCGTTTTATAACAAATTTGCTAAGTTGCCTTTGAAAGTCTACGTATATTGATTTCATAGAAGAGGTGTAACATAATTCGATGATCAAACCAACTTACCTGGTAAGTGAAATTCGATCGTAATTATATGTTACACCTCTTCGTAGAAATCACCCTTTCAGGCCCAATGTACTGTTACGAACAGTACTAAAATGCCCTTTGGCAAATTTAGGGATATTCCGATACTAGTAAATACGAGTAGGTACTCGATACCCAGTATTTATAGCATCGCATCAATCTTGCGATACTTACTCGGTATCGAAACAAAAGTACTTGGAATCAAATCGAATCAGCCTCACCATTAAAGAAAAAACAGAACGGATCAGACAAACATAATCTATATCTGATCTATGGTGACGCGTTGTCTCGCGCCAGCCAAGCCGAACTCGTCCGACTTCACTCGACCGAGCCCGAGACAAAAGCGAGAAAGACGTCCGCCCTTCATTTTTTTCCATTGTCAACCAACATAAATTGTCAAACATACAAGAGATTGCTTACAAATAATTTTATTTATTGTAATCATCGGCTTATTATTCCAATGTTATCGTGGAGTTTTTTGTTTAAAGTACGTGCTTAACGTGACGCAAACGTTTATATTAAAAGTTTTCTTTTCCTTCTTAATTTTGTTTTATATTATTGTCCTTCAACGTTCATTAAAATAAATAAAAAATTAATAGTGCTAAAAGTATCGATATGAGTAAGTATCGATACTTTATAAGTATTTGTTTGAGTAGTATCGATAAAAGATTTGAGTACTATCGAAATGAGTAGGTATCGATACTTTAATGGTATCGGAACATCCTTAGGCAAATTTATTATAAACGGGCTCTAAAATAGAATGAGGTTAAGACCATAGATGGCGAATATACCGTGCACGGTAAGTTATTCCACAGTTTTTTGTCTCTGCTTTAAAGCTGTGGTGCCACCTAGCGACTAGAAGGGGGACTACGTATATTGATTTCATAGAAGAGGTGTAACATATTATAATCATTATGACATAATCTTTTTCGGAAAACGATGTTTTATTTTCGTCATTTTTCACATTTCGGTGATGGATTAATAAATAATAGTCGTCTTGTGGTGTGATATATGTGTCCGCTTGAATAAAAAAATTATTCCAATTTGCAATTTTTGATATTTTGAAATTTTCAGATTTTTAAAATTAATGTTTAATTGTTAATTATATCTTCATTTATTATTAGCGGTAGCGGTTTTAACTGCGAAACCATGACGTAATTGGAATCATTTACGATGCAGGTGCACCGCTTCTGAAGATATGTTACGTTTTTGAAAACGATATTTTATTTACATCGTGTTTTATTTTTCGGCGATGGAGATTACTATATAATTATATTCAGCCTCGTTATCGCTAATTATGTTCAAGCGAAGACGAGATGACTTTTTAAAAACTTTATTTTCAAAATACAATCGAAAATTAAGAGTTTCTGCAGCAGCAGTTACAACAAGAATAATCATATTACTTAAAACTAAGACTTTGTAGGTTCGTATCCGAAAAGCTGACAATGTGAATCTCACGGTCTCTTCATAGTACCATCGTCGCCAAATGCTGACATCGTAGATCTCACGGTGTCCTATCCTTATTACTTAGAAATTATTGTACATAACTCCTCCCTCCTCAAGAAGCAAACATAATGGAATGAGTTTGCTCCGGCTGATTGGATTTATGATCGCTAGAAAAAATATACTAACAATAATATTAGTTATTAAACTTGTAGACATAGGCTGGCCAATTTCTTCAATCAGTTGTAGTTCATTTGTTATCTGTTTTAATTGATATAGGTCTTGCAAGTTAATTTGACTGATGTTCGCTAATCTGTGTGACGTAATTCGTCTAAATTCTTGTATATAGACTTCAGGTAAAAGCAAAGGCTTTCCTTTCATAATTTTGGCATTGTTGTAATAATTTTTCTTGCCCAAGGTAATTTGACAAGCAGCTGGAATTTCTATAAGTGTTGGAATATCGATCTTAAGGTATCGATCAATTTTACACTTAGCAAATACCAATGTATTTTTAACAAGTAAGACAAGCACCTTTTCTTGCGTTACTTGCTCTGCAAGAGGTTGTATTAATTCGATATGGTGTTTTCGACAGTTGCTTATAGGCTGATTTTCAAGCAATTGAATCGTGCATTCATCCTTCGAGTTGTAGTTTTCGTGGCAGTAGAAAGTATGCTCGATTTCGGGACAGCAGGACGCTTTGAAGGTGTCCTAGACGTTGTCGACATAGGTTCAGGTTTGGGCAAATCGCGTGGGTTTGTTTGTCCGGGCTTAAATACATTTTTTGGTTTACCGAAAACTTGACTGTTGGTAAAGTATTTTTGAGGGGGTAGTTGTCTGGGCCTTACTTCAACTGGGCCAGTTGGAAACATTTTTTGTGGGGGCTTAAAGTAATTTTGATTAAAAGGTTGTTGACCGAATCGCGTTAAGTTACCAAATTGTGCGGGGTTACGAAATTGCTGGTGTGGAAATTGAGCGAGATTGGGTGGTACAAACGGTCTTTGATAAAAAATTTGAAGATGTTGATTTGTCGGTGCACTGTTTAAATTTTGGAAGTTCGGCTTTTGAGATTTATAAGGCTCGTTCTGAGTCCCATACAATCTTTCAAAATTTTCGAATTCATTTACATATGCCATGGCGTCTTCGAGACTTTCCTGTGTTTTTAAATGCATATAGTTTTTTAAGACGCCTGTGCACCCTGCGATAAATGTATTTAGTGCGGTTTGATCATAATGTTTAATGTATGAAAGCTTTTCTTCCGGTGTATATTTAGAGTCATTACTTATACGCTGTGCAATGTCGCTCCTTAATAATTGAAGTCTACTTCCAAAATTTATCAAGTGTTCGTTTTTATTGGGTCTAGTCCTAACTAATTCTTGGATTAAACAATTCAGATCTCGGCGATCGGAAAAACATTGAGTCAATGCATCTTTCAATGCTTTCCAATCACTAATTTCTGTGCGATTACCTACTAAAACTGCGGCTCTGCCTACCAGTTTTTCCTGGATACATTCAAAAATATGTTTATTTAATTCCGAATTTGCAAGGGAACCATTAGTTAAGCTTTCGCATCTGTTGATAAACTTATTTAAGGTATTGCTATCACCTTCCTAAGGTTGAATGTTTTGCAATTTTGATTTAAATAAATTCCAATTTACTTGGTCCGTCATTTTTTCTGATATTTTTCTTTCACTAAAGGTTAGATTTTTGAAAATTTCACTAATTTCAGATTCTACGTCACTACTTAATGCTTTGAAATATTCGCAGCTTGTTTCTGATTCACAATTTAACATCAAAAATTGATCGATTAAAAAAAAAATTGTTTCCCTAACTACTTGACGTCCGGTACGTCTTGCCTAAAATTATCCCTATTAAAAGTCTTAACGGAGGATCTTAAAGGGGCGAAAGGAAAAAATCGCACTTACGGTTTTCCCTTCCTTGATCCTTTGTTGCACACTGCCTACGAGAGTCTTCTCTGGGTTCGCCAACAAGTTCTTTGGATTGCGCTGTAGCGGTTGAAACCACTCCTCAGGGTAGCCTAATTCGGTAAGTGTCACTTTTCCGCACGATGCGACATACACACACGAATTGTCTCTGCTTTTTCGTTTTCCGAATTCCGAGGGCACAATCCTACTGACTGCGCCAATTATGTTCAAGCGAAGACGAGATGACTTTTTAAAAACTTTATTTTCAAAATACAATCGAAAATTAAGAGTTTCCGCAGCAGCAGTTACAACAAGAATAATATTAGTTAAAACTAAGACTTTGTAGGTTCGTATCCGAAAAGCTGACGATGTGAATTTCACGGTCTCTTCATAGTACCATCGTGGCCAAATGCTGACATCGTAGATCTCACGGTGTCCTATCCTTATTACGTAGAAATCATTGTACATAAAGGCCGGTCCAGACACTCCGTTTTGCACAACGTTTTAAATCCGCGCAGTTTTAAGACGGAATGAAACCGTTGCAACTTTGAGCGTCCAGACGGTACAGTCTTGACGGTGCAGTCTTGTATTTTCCGCTCAGTTTTGTGTGATATCGCCATGGAGGAGGTTCTCCTGTGGTCAATTTTCGCCTGCTGTATTGTAAAAAAAAAAAAGATTGGAACACATCAGAGGAACCGTTCGTTCAAAATGGTCACGGAAATGGCTTTTGAAAAGGCGGGACTTTTCCCATATAAGATTATTGAGTGAATTACGTGACGAACCTAATGATTGGCGAAACTACTTGAGAATGGACATGGACACGTATATTTACTTATTGGAATTAGTGACACCGCATATCAAGAAAGAAAATACTTGTATGAGAGCAGCAATATCACCACATGAAAGGCTAACAGCAACTTTAAGATTTTTGGCAACCGGCAGAAGTTACAAAGACCTGGAGTTCACAACAATTATATCAAAACAATCGCTAAGTGAAATCATTCCCGAAACATGTGAAGCTATCTATCTACAAGGTGCTGAAGAAGGATTACTTGAAGGTAAGAAATATTGTTATTTTCCATAAACGATTTATTATTTAATTGAACATTATAAACTTTATTATTGTAGAAAAGTTATTATGGTAAGCAATAGAAATGCACGCAAGTATACTTCAGTTTGGTTGAAATGATGACAAGTAGGTTCCAACGGGAGAGTGGGCAGGGGCTTGGTGGGCGCGTGTCTGTACATCTTGTTCACCTTGCTGTGGGATGATGCATGAAACTGCCGGAATGTTCCCAATTGTTTCATACTCCTGAGTGTGAGGTATTTGTTCTGGGGCGTAGTTATGTGGCATAGGCTGCGGCTGCTGCGAGAAGGAGTGGTATTGTCCAACTTGTGAAGAAAGATTTTGTTGAATTCTGATTTGATGTGGCGTATTCTGTTGAGGCCAATAATTCGTGGCATTCATTGAACCAAAATCATCTTGTCGCTGGCTTTTCATGTCAACAATTCGAAAATTTCTGGTAAGCGTACCCAACTCAGCTTCGAATAAAACGTCGGAAATTAGTTTCTGAGCAATTATGTTTTGTGAATTCGGGACTTCTCTGAGTTTATTAGCCACATGTTTTCCGAATACCTGAAATGCATCATCTGCCTGTAGCGATTCCAGTTTCTTCCCTATCACCTGCAGGACTTCAATTGTGCCATCATCATTCCCAACAGCCTTCCTCTTGTTACGAGTTAACTTGTGCGAGGTATTGACAGAATGGGAAGTACTCGTAGATGCTTCGGAAGCAGGAGTAGCAGGGGTAGTAGCAGCTTCACTGGGCCCACTGTCAATAACAGTTTCTTGCACATCGTCTTCCACCTGAAAATATTAAACAATAAATGTATTATTGATCTCCATATTTTTATTATTTTTACAAATTTTCAATGATGAAACTCTTGCAATATTTCTTCTTTTTTTGTTTTGTTTCAGTTTCCCAAGACTGAAGAGGAGTGGATGGAATTTGCAGCGGAGTTTGAAAGAATGTGGCAGTTCCCTCATTGTTTAGGGTCAATTGACGGAAAACATATTAGAATTGTGCCACCTAAAGGAAGTGGGTCCTATTATTTCAATTACAAAAAAACACACAGTGTTGTTCTTATGGCAATAGCCAATGCCAATTGCGAGTTTTTGTATTGTGATATAGGAACAAACGGTCGGATCTCAGATGGAGGAGTCATAAATAACACTCAATTTTATGAAAAACTCGTTAACAACGAGTTAAAAATTCCAAAACCCCGATCCATTGGAAGTTCAAACAGAGTTTTAAGATATGTTTTTGTTGGGGATGAAGCCTTCGCTATGCGTCCAGACCTTCTCAAACCATATCGACGAGAAACATTAACAAGGGACCGAAGAATTTTTAATTACCGCCTATCTAGGGCGAGGCGTGTTGTTGAAAACACATTCGGCATTTTGGCTTCCCGATTTCGTATTTTCCACACAAGTATTAATTTAAAGATGCACAACGTCGATACTGTAGTTCTTGCGTGTTGCGCTTTACACAAATTTTTGCGGAGAAAGTCCCCCCAAAACTACACCCCTCCAGAAAGTATGGATCAGGAAAATATTTCTGAATGTACTGTTCAATTAGGTGAAAGATGTAACCCAGAATTAGTGCACGACCTACAGCGTGGACCAAGAGGCCACATGTTGAACAATGCTAACGGGGTCAGAGATCATTTCAAGGAGTACTTTAACAATGAGGGGTCTGTTCCTTGGCAAGATAGATTTATAACTTTAAACAATTAATGGCGTACATAAATAATTATTTGGTACTTGTAATTTTTTAGTAGACACTTGTAATAAACATTGTAAAAGCTGATTGTACCTATTAAATAAAAGAATATGTTTCAGTTAATAAAGCGATTAGGTAATAATAGGAAATTTTGTTGTTTTTTTTCTTACCAGTTGTGATGATTCGTCGCAGTTTACAGACTCTTCACTTTCGTCCATGGTATTCCTCGACGGCCTTGGTGTCTCCTGATCATTGAGAAAATGCAGCAAATCGAAATACCACAGAGATGGCTTGTAAATTTCGTCTTCTCCAGCTCCAGATCGAATCGATTTGTTTACCTTTGCCAATTCTTTGCAATAAACGCTTCTCAAAGAATTGATTTTCTTCACCACTGTCTCCCTGCTCGCGTTGACATCTATTTCTTTGAACTTTTCAACCAATCTCTCGTACGCTTCCCCCTTTTTGTCCCTGTCACTGTACTCTTTAGATTTAACTCGCCAAAGGCACGGAAAACTTTCATAATGTGAAATAAAATCCGTCAAAAACTCGCGAGAACATTGCCGCAGATCTGTCATGGTCGGATGATTAGAGAAAACTGAGGAACAAAACGGATTGGAAAACGGAGTAAGTGTCCACACGCAACGACATGTCTGCGCAGGTCACGGTTTTCAGAGCTCACGAGATCAGTTATCGCTGCAACTGTGCAGTCCTCCCGACGGACTCAAAATTGCGCAGTTTTCCGGTCCACACGCAACGTTTTGTCTGCAACGTCTTGAACTGCGGAGACAAAACGTTGTGCAAAACGGAGTGTCTGGACCGGCCTTAACTCGCTCACTATGTTCAAACGTTAAATTACTCACCCCGGCTGTGTCGCACCCCCGGCTCCCGACCGGTCCCGATACGTACCTACTTCAGTCTTCGTTTTAGTGCGGAATCGTTCACATCTCCGTGGTATTTCCTGTGTACTGTTATGTCAATGTATTCACGAAAACGGCGACGTAGTCCGTCGCCTTCGCCCGGGTCATCAGTGACCCAGGAGGGAAAAAGTTCCGTCTTGATGATTCTTCAAAGATTGGAGCGCCGAATGGACACGTTAAAAAAGAAAAATCGGAACAAACCACGACAATCATTATCAGAAAGTTCTTGTGAAAGTGCATCTAATTCGCAAAATCCGAGTGATTGCTCCGATGTGGAGAATAATGAAGGTAAATATCTATGCAGCAATTTCTTATCCTCACCTGTTTGGGATAACAAGAAAGCAGGTTGAAAATACTATTATTTTCAACCTGCTTTCTTGTTATTATTATTATTCGGGCCCGTCTAGGATAACAGAAAAATTATATTATACTGTTTTGGACTCTTTGAGATAAAAGTAATAATTTTAAACTGTTTGGGATAACAGTGATTTGTATTTTTAAATATTTCGAATTAATATATATATATATATATATATATATATATATATATATATATATATATATATATATATATATATATATATATATATATATATATATATATGATGACACTATATTCCGGGATATCATCCGTTCGCTCGTTGAACTCCGACTGGAATCCTGCAGACGTTTCGCCAAAATCTCACTTGGCATCTTCAATGCTCGCGCTCCGAAAACACTTCGAACACTTCGAAGTGTTTTCGGAGCGCGAGCATTGAAGATGCCAAGTGAGATTTTGGCGAAACGTCTGCAGGATTCCAGTCGGAAGCAGGATTCCAGTCGGAGTTCAACGAGCGAACGGATGATATCCCGGAATATAGTGTCATCACATTTTTCCATCCGTGAATCAATACGTGAGAATATATATATATATATATATATATATATATATATATATATATATATATATATATATATATATATATATATATATATATATATATATATATATATATATATATATATGTATATATAATATATAATATAATATATTCGCTCATTTATTGATTTTGAAATTTACAAGTTTCTTTTTATTTTCCCTATATTTATTTATTTTTATTTATTTATTTATTTATTTAGCACTTGGCTATTTACATAAGCAAGTAAAATTTGCATAAACAAAACTATAAACTTAGCAAATACCCCCGTAAGTCTCTTCTTGAACACTCTTGGGCAAGGCGCGCCCTTAATATTATCCGGCAGTTCATTAAAATTACAAACACCATCGTAGAATAGAGTTTTCTGTAAATTTGTTGTTTTTACCATAGAAACATTGAAGTGCTGATTGGAACGTATATTATATTGATAAAAGTTTGACCTTTTTTCCAACCATAATTTAAGATAGCCTGGCTGGTGATCGTGCGCAATTCCATAAACCAACATTAAACTTGCTTTTCTAATGAACTGCCCGACATTTAGCCAATTTAGCTGGTCTAACATACTCTTTATAGGAGTATATCTATCACAGTTCAGGATGATTCTCATAACCCTATTTTGTTGTAATTGTAACTTATTTAAATCTTCTTTTGTACAAGATATAAGCAATGAACAAACATATGAAAAATGATTCAAAATTATACTATTATAAACTAACATCTTAGTCCACGGCGATAAAAACCGCGATACACGGTTAAAAAACCCTATTTTCTTACCAATTTGTTTGCATAGATATTCAACATGATTACTAAAGCATAATTGCGAATCCAATTATTACCCTGTATATCCATAGAATACCCTGACTTATCAAATTTTTGACAGTTAACCTTAGAACCGATAACCATGCACTTGGTTTTGGAGTTTCAGTTTATTTTGACACAGCCATTCGTAGAAATACTGCATTTCGGTGTTCAGTGTGGTAGCTATTTCTTTGCAATCGTTTCCAGAGACTGAAATAAGTGTGTCATGATTCCCTATTCAATTTACAAATTATATTAAAGACATTTTTGGATTTTTGCATTTGTTGATATATCATCAAAACTTACTTAAAGAGCTTTGTCTGTTGATCAAAAATTCAAGGTTATAAAAGAAGTGGAAAGTGGCTCAAAAAATAAAGATGTAGCTGTGAAGTATGGGATTTCGGCAAGTACAGTGTCTACAATTTTGAAAAATAAACATTCAGTCAGTGGCAGTGCAAGTGGGGGTATTAAGAGGCTAAAAAAGCCCATGTATGAAAATGTAGATAAAGCAGTTTTAGAGTGGTTTAAATCGACAAGAAGACAGAACTTACCTATATCCGGGGGCTTAATCAAAGAAAAGGCATTGGAGTTTAGTGAAAAACTAGGACAACCAAACTTTAAGGCAAGCTCGATAATTGGAAACGCAGGTGAGGTACATACATACCGGGTGTCCCTTTTAAAGCCGTCAATGGGCTATAAGTTTAAAATGAAAATAAATTTTAAAAAAATGAAACACCGGTTTGAAAGGTTGGAAGGGGGAATCATTTCAAGGTAGTTTTCAACCCACCCCGACCTACCCCCTAAGGGGTAGCTATCCCACTTCAAAATCTTAAATAGAAATATGGGTCATATAGCACATCATTCGAAAGGTCTTTTGTTTTTCTAAACAGTGGTGCACTTTTTTTATTCTATTTTGAGTTGTTTTCCAAAATTCCCAAAAAATCTGTTTTGGAAGATGAGTGTTGGGAAATCAACAATCTTTGAGAAAAATGATAAAAAATATGTAATTATGGTTGCATAAAATAAACGTTATTAAGATATTTTGTAACCCTTTCTCACTTATCCTTAATACCAATTTTTTAATAAGATTATAGGTCGTGTGATACCTGTTAAAAAACAATAACTTAGTGACGGAGTGCTACGCGAATAAACAAAAAATCGGGAACGCGACGCTAGATTGACTTTTCAACGTTTGACAATTTTAATGTCTCACTTTTGAAGTTGTTTTTACGAATTACTTGTTATTTTCCGTTTTCCACCATTATATTTTAATATTTCAACATTAGAGAACGCTTAGTAACGAATCCGGTGTTTATTTGAACGACATATCCCACGTTACCTCTTTCAAAAGGTATTTTTTTTTAAATCAACAAATTCTGCATTACTTAATTCATAAAAATAACAAGCAAGAAAGTTTTTATTTTATTAAGCAGGTATTTTATTATTTTTATTTAAACAAATGTTCAAAATGTTATTATTTTGAAGACAGGCGGTTTCACGTCGTACCTTCTCTAAGATCTCGGGTGTGATATTTCGACAAGCAATAATAATTCTTTGCTTGAGATCTTCCAAGGATTCTGGTGGAGTCTGATAAACAATTGATTTAATGTATCCCCATAAGTTTTTCATTTTTTTAAAATTCATTTTCATTTTAAACAAGCAAATTGGCAGTTTTAAAAGGGACACCTGTATAAAAATTTATATAGTATATAATTAGGTTTTAAAGTTCGTTTGTTTGTTTTATGTCAGGCGAATGTCATAAAAAGGCTTGTGGAGAAAGCAGTGACGTAATTGACGAAGATTGTACTAAATGGAGACGTGATGTTTTACCTCATTTATTAGAAGAGTATCAAGCACGGGACGTATTTAATGCAGATGAGACAGGATTATTTTTCAAATGTCTTCCAGATAACACTTTAACTTTTAAAAATCAAAAGTGCCATGGAGGTAAGCATAGTAAACAGAGAGTTACACTGATGCTTCTTGCAAACATGGATGGATCAGAGAAAGCAAAACTGCTTCTAATAGGTAAAAGTAAACAACCTCGCTGGTTTCGAAATGTTAAGTGGTTACCTCTTGACTATAAAGCAAATGCAAAAGCTTGGATGACAGCCGCACTTTTTGAAGAATGGCTATTAAAATTGGGCAAACAATTTAAACACCAGCGAAGAAAAATAATTCTTTTTATTGACAACTGTCCAGCTCATTCTAAAGACGTCCAGGAAAAATTAAAATGTATTAGACTTGCTTTTGTCCCGCCGAATATGACATCTAAGTTACAACGACTTGATAAGGAAAACGTTTCGAAGAAAACAAAAACAATAACATTACACTAATGGATTGTGTTGACGACGTAACTACCGCATGGAATATCGACGTTAAGCCTGAAACAATTTCCAATTGTTTTAAAAAAGCCGGTTTTGATCAGTATTCTGAATGGTAAGAAGAAGATGAGAGTCCCTTGATTTTCCTAAGTGAACGCCTGAAAGAAAAGAGTGAAGAAGAAATCCAA